CTGAATATATGTTGTATTGTAAGATCTGTGTGGTTCTGAGTTGCTCCAAACGAGCTGCAGCTGCAGGGTCCTTAGTTGGGCAGCAGCTGTAGCTCATGAAGGCAACTGAGATAAATAGGGGTGGGTCAAGAGCCCAAGAGGAGCCCCTGAGAAGAGAGACAGGACTGTGCTGCAGAGAAAGGAGAAGAGCCCCAGCAGAGAGGGAAGAACAACGCTGCAGCAAAGATTGCAACAGAGGAGCTCTTGGCTACCCAAGGCCATGGCCACAAGCCAGTTTTCTGTTGTGCCCTTGCTGCTTGCTCAGCTCCCACCCACCCAGATCATCAGCTGAACCCCTGGGGAATGCCTGCAAGGACAGGGGTGTGGAAGCATCATCCAGATCATCAGCTGAACCCTTAGGGAATGCCTGCAAGGACAGGGGTGTGGAAGCACCACTCACTCATCCTCAGTGGTGAAAGCAGGGGGAAAACAAAACCTTCACCACCCAGCTTCGCAGGCACAGCCAGGTCCCTCTGTCTGATGGCTTGCAAGACATCCCTCCCAAGGGGACAAAGGGATGTGCCAATGTCCCCAAGCCCTGCCACATCGCAGCCCGCGAGCCACGGCGCCGTCATCTGTCTTCAGGCGGTGCCAGGCAGGCAGTAAATCTCTCCCATCTCTCAGTAAACATGTCACCTCCCCGAGCCTCCAACCATCACCTGACAGCAGCGCTGTCAGCAAGACAGATCCCCGGCTGCCTTGTTTACTGCACCAGTCCCCAAAGCCTCTTTTGGCTGGAAATGACTCAAAATGCACACTGGGGCTTGCGGGAGCAGTTTAGGAACCTGGAATGGGGATCCCCAGCAGGATCAGAAAAACTCCATGCTCACGAGCAGAACCACACACCCCCTGTGAGCCCCCAGCCTCCCAGAGCAGCCCCCCAGCTCTCACTGGTGCATTTCTTGATGCTGCTTCCCTTCCTCAGCGCGTGCCGGCTCAGCTTGCAGTGGAAATTCTCCTCCCAGAACTCGGCAAACCAGATGTTCCTGCGGTTGTTGTCCAGGGTCCTGCTGGAGAAGTAGCGGTCGAAACCTGCCCGGGGAGAAAGGGGATGGAGGGGATAAATGCCAGGGATGACAGGGAGATGCATCACACACTCCCAAATTCCCCAGGCAGAGGAGAAGGGAGTTTATGTGAGCAATGGAGACATCAAAGTGTGGTGGGGTTGTGTCCAAAGTGTCACTTGTGCTGAGACGCAAGTGGAAAGTCCACTCAGGGAAGATCCTCTGCAAAGCAGAGACTTTCTGGGACTCTGAGAGGAGCAAGAAATGCCTCTCTAGGTACGTTGGTGATAAAGGGAGAGTAGGGAAAACACGACATGTGGAAAATAAGGAGGTGACTGGTGGGCAAACCAGGAGGTCTTTAAAGTCCACAGTGGTTTCATAGCCAAAACCTGCAGTTCAGGAGGGCAATCTCACCTCTGACTGAGACTCTCTTGGGCAGGATGGTGACAGAGCCCTCGGCCACCTCCTCCAGGTGCAGGACGGGGGCAATTTTGGAGCCCCAGCTGTCTGAGCCCATCCAGATGAAGTGCCCCGTCTGGTTCGCCCTCTTGGCCGCCTCCAGCACCCTTCTGTGGAGAGAAGCAGCAGAGTCTGGGCCACAAACTCCTTGTCTGGGCCCAGGATAGTGGCACAGTGCTGGTGGCATCTCCTGCTCCAGGCACAACCCGGTGTACATGGACACAAAAAATCCAGCGGTGCCACTCAGCTCCCACACCCTCTGTCCTCCCAGCCCGGGCACACAGGCTGCTTCTCTCACTTCATTTGCATATTTGCTGACTGGTAATTGAATTTCCCCTTAATTACCCAACATTAAGAAAGGAAAAAAAAAAAAGGAAAAGAATCAGGTTATGCCGCAGCAGGCAGAGAAAGCAGCAGCGTGGAGAGCACATGCTTTCAGCATGGATAGACCTGGGAGAGGGGCAGCCAGTGCTGCCAGTGCCCAGCATGGAGCTAAACTGGGCTCTGCTGAGCTAAACTGGGCTCTGCTGAGCTAAACTGGGCTCTGCTGAGCTAAACTGGGAGCAGAGATGCCATCGGTCCTGCTGAGCATCCCTCCTGGTGCCAGACACTCCTCCAGTGCCAGCCAGGCCAGGAACTCGTTGTGAGGATGGGAACCGAGCTGTTCCTGCATCTGACCCTGTCGGCTCTGTCTCCCAGGGCTCGCTGTCCCCTCGGGGGCTCCTGTGGGTCCCCAGCCATGTGGGAGCAGGGCCCAGGGCAGCTCCATCTCCCCGTGCAGAGCCAAGGCAGGTTGTGACTCAGCCCCCACGTCGGAGCTGATCATTTCAAGTCCAGATGGTGTTTGAAACGTGTAATAAGGGAAAAAAGCCCATAGAAATCCAGCAGAGTGCAGAGATGGGAAGAGGCAGGCGTGCAGTGGGAGCTGTGCAGGCTGCTCCGAGCTCACCCTGGGCTGCTCTGGGCACATCCATCCCCAGGACAGCCACAGCCCCTGTCCCACTCTGTGACAGCAGCACTTCCAGCTGCCCCTGCTCCCTGTGCAGGGCAGATCTCTGCAGGGCAAACCCAAGAAATTCCCATGAAAACTGATCCAGGCAAGAATTCCAACTAGAACCCTCCCAATCTGTCCTTCCCGTCTTCCAGGCTCCACAATGCAGGGTCAGGATCATGGAGAACCCCACTCCTGGGCTCAAGGAGGCTGCAGAACCCCCTGCCCAGAGCTTCAATCCCATCTGGATGTTTCCAGAGCCCTGATAACAGGACCTGCCATTTATCCTGCAAGGTAAATCCCTTTTCCCTCTCACCCCCACCCGATGTCAGCTCCACAGACATTTCTATTAAGGAAGGAAAAAAGAAACTGGGAGAGTTTGCACATCTGATGTAAACTGATTTAAACTTGCAGTTTACCCACATTTACATAATGTTTGCTGATTAATAAATTAGACACTTAGGAAATCAGGGGTAGCTCCATGTGAATCATTCTCCTCCATAAACAACAGAGCTGCAGCCGCCGCTTCGCCTGCAGAGCAGCTCATCACCCTGAGTGCGGCCACGTCCCCGGCCCTGCTGGGCACAGAGTGCTGGGGACGTCCCCAAAAGGTCCCTCAAAGGTCCCCCAGATCTGTTCCTCTGCCACGCCGGGGTTGGGGCTGCTCTGCAAAGCAGAACCAGTGCCTGGGTCCTGCCCTGGCCAGCTGGGAGCAGCCCCTGCATGGTGTGAGCAGCAGCTCATGATATCCAGGGCTGCCAAAACCGATGGGAAGAGGGATTTTCCTCTGCTGGCTCTGTGTGGCTGTGGTTGGATGGCAGCCACTCGCCAGGTGTGAGTGGGTCCCCACTGCAGACATTCCCAGCTACGCCACACAGTGCATCCTGTCCCCACTGCAACTGCAGACACATCCCAGTGCATCCTGTCCCACTGCAGACACATCCCAGTGTATCCCAGTGCATCCTGTCCCACTGCAGACACATCCCAGTGCATCCCAGTGCATCCTGTCCCCACTGCAGGCACATCCCAGTGCATCCTGTCCCACTGCAGACACATCCCAGTCCATCCCAGTGTATCCTGTTCTCACTGCAGACACATCCCAGTCCATCCCAGTGCATCCTGTCCCACTGCAGACACATCCCATTGCATCCTGTCCCATTGCAGGCACATCCCAGTGCATTCTCTCCCCACTGCAGACACATCCCAGTCCATCCCAGTGTATCCTGTTCTCACTGCAGACACATCCCAGTTCATCCCAGCACATCCCTGCTCAGAGCCCCTGCACACCTGATGTCGTCCTCGTTGGCGAAGATGATGACGGCGCGGGCGTGCGAGGTCTCCAGGAGCCGGCGGATGATCTTGTCAAACTCCCCCGGCTTGGGCTCCCTCGGGATCTTCACGGACTGGGCCACGCAGACCCCGCCTGTGGCAGAGAGAGCCCTGGCACTGAGGCACGCCACGAGTCCCTGTCCCCTGGGGATGGCCCCTCTCACCATCCAGGGCTCCTCAGCCCAGCAGGCCGAGCTGGGGCTCTCCAGCGCTCCCACTGAGGGGCTGAGCACTTCACCACCTCCTGGGCACCACCCAGCCCTCTGGGACATGTCCCCCAGCCCTGCCCCGAGCCCTCCTCTCACAGGTCACTGCCTTCACCCCTCCTCTTCCCCCAGCTCAGCCCTTCTGCACCACATTCCCTCCCACCCTGTATCTCCACAGCTCCTCTCTGCCTCCCACCTGCTCCTCTGGTATCTGTCACCTTCAGCCACCACCACATCACACTCCAGATGTCCCCAGGACAGACACACAGTCCATCCCAGCAGCTCAATGAGGATTTTCCAGCCATTTCCAAGCACCAGTCCCTCCCCACCCAGGGTTTGCAAAGGGTTCTGCACACAGAATGGTCAAACCCTGGCAAAACCACCCCATTGGAAGAGCAGACAAGCCCTTCACCACTGAGCAGCCAGGCCCTGCAGAAGGGTTTGTTCCATCCCTGTGGCACTGGCCAAGTTTCAGACCAGCTTTCCAAGGAGCCCAATCCAAAAGCAGGTAATTAAAATTAAAAGAGACAATTGGAAGAGCCCCCACACTTCACAGCTGGGCTCCCAACCTCCAGCTCCTAAAAGCCAGAGCCCTCCTGCTCCTGCATTTCTGCAGATGCCAATAAAGAGAGAGATGGGAGAGAGAATTAAACATTGTGGGACCTTCTGGATGTAATTGATGGGCTCAATTTGCATAGTAAATGACACGGCTGATGCCTCCTGCCACTAACAGATCGCAGCTCAAGCAAAGGTCAGCATAATTACCACTGTGGCTGGGAGAGACTCCCAGAGCAGGGCCCTGGAGAGGAGCAGGACAGGACAGGGTGGGGACAGGCTCCAGAGGACTTCACTGCCTCCTGGGGCTGCAGGAAAACGGGGAAAATTTGGCCCCTTTCAGCCAAAACCCAAGAGAAGGGCGACGTGCTGGGTGCTGAGCAGGCAGGGAGAGCTGCAGGGAAGGGGCACAGCATCCCCCACCTGGCTGGGGCTTTCCAGGGGTTTTCTGGGGGTTTGTTTTCCTGTGGTAAGAAATTGGGCCAATTTGCTGCTTGTTTCCCATATGGGGAGCCAGATGGATGGAGAGGAGGGAGTTGGATAAACAGACAGATCAGCCAGGCGAGGCGGGCAGCAGCCGGCAGCGCCAGCAGGACAGGAACGTCCCAGCCTGGGGACACTCACCCTGGCCACCACAGAGCCCCCAGCCAGGCCAGGGTGTCACAGCACACTGCCAGGGGCCACCAGGCAGCTTAATTACAGTTTCCATGGCAATCAGTGGAGAAAATCCAACAAAAGCAGCAGTTTGCAAACACCGAGAGCCTTCCAAAAGCCCTGGCAGGGCCAGGCAGGAGCGTGCATGCAGGAGTGGCAGCTGGGGACTGGCACAGGCACACACCTGAGTGCCACCAGCCTCTTGTGCTAGGGAACATCTCCCTGCACACGTGGCAGAGGAGATGGAACCATAAATAAACAAGAGGTTAAATCGATGGCAGTTCAGAAATGACCGTGATGTTACTCGGCTGCTTCGTTAAATCAAACTAACGAGGAACACAGCTCCTCCAGGTGACAGCCTGCAGGGCCAGAGAGCCCCTGCTTCCCACAGCAGATGCTGACAATGTTTTCATCTCCTTAATTAATGAAAATGTAATCACCAACAGCAAGAAGTCCAGGGTGTCGGGGGGCAGTGGCTGCGTGGTTTGGGAAGGGGATTTGCCCAGTGATGCTCCCACTGTCTTTGCACAAAAATCCATTTAGTCAAAACGCTCCTCTAAAGCCAGAAATCAAAGTGAGGAGTGGCAGCAATGGCGAGGAGGTGACCACTCTCCCTTCTCCAGCAGGGTGGCACAGCATTCTCCCTGACTTGGGACAAGGGGCGACGCTGGGTAAAGGCAGCAGGTGAGGCATGGGGACCCCTCTCCTCCTCCCCCAGCTTGGGAAAGGACCAAAGAGGAGCAGGAATATTGGGGATGGGGGGAACACCCCACAGGCAGCTGCTGGAGGCAGTTTGGGGTCAGGCAGTTGGAGGATGCTCAGATGAGATCCCGTGAGTTTCATCACTGGTGCCACAGGACACAGGGCAAAAAACAGCCTGGAAAACCCAGCCTGAGGCCACTTCCAAACCTCCCCTTCCCAGCTGCCTGTGCCATCCTCAATCCCTCCAGTCCTCCCCCGGGCCGCAGGGACTCTCCTGGGAACGCCTGTTGTCAAACACGGGTCAGGGTTTAATCTCCACCATTAAAGCTCGGTGGGAGCGCAGCCACTCCGGCTTCCCCTCTTGATTGCCGGTGCTTAATTAGCTCCTGGCTCAGGGGGTTCTGCCAGCAGAGCCTGCCAAGCTTGCAGCAAGCAGGGACCTGGCTCAGGGGCTAAAGCAGGGACTGGCTCAGCCGTGCAGATGTGGATGTTGGATGTTCCCCCCGCCCTGGGCAGTCCTGGGCACCCCAGGGAGGGATCAGCCCAGCAGTGATGGCATTCCCACTCCCAGCTCCCCTCCTAACTCCAGCCTTCCCATGAAATTCCGATTCACTGGGAGCGGTTCACTGCTGCCCTGCCCCAGGACTCATTGTCTGTGTCACTTCAAAGCCTCCAGGAAGCAAAGGATCACAGAAGAAGCCATCAGGGCCCTCTGCTGCAGACCGAAATGCTGAGCTCAAAGCTCCTGCCTCAAGATTTGGGAGTGGCTTTTTGGGGGCGACCTCCTGGTGCAGCCACCGCGAGTAATGAGCCCGGCTGGAACCAGAGAGAGACAGCCAGGGATGTCACATGGGGATGAGCAAACGCATCACAAATGTACATCAGGCTCCTCACTAGAAATATGGAAAACTTAGTGAAGGATGAAACAATAGAGGGGGGGAAATGGCAGCAAAATTGATCCAGGGACGTGACTAAGAAGTTGGGCTGGGAATATTCCCCTCTTCCCAGACCCAAGGTGTGGCACAGGTCAGCTCCATTACACAGGCAGCCATCCCAGCCCTCATCTCCAAGGGCCTGGAGACAGCAGAGACCTCAACAAAGCAGAGCCAGAGGGTCCTGGGTGGGTCTGAGCACCAAAGTGATGCCACAGGTCAGGGGCGTGGGGAAATGCTGGACAGAGGGGCTGGAGCTGAGGACACCAGGGACACCCCAATGCTGTCCCTGCCATCCAGCTGACAGCCACTGCCAGTGCAGGATGCTCTGGGGGAGTAGGATGGATACTGGGAGCAGAATGCACTCAAAACACTTTAAAATGGCTGAAGAAAACACATCCTTTGCAGACTGAACATCTCTGCAATGCTAAAAACCCGAAAAGCAGCGCTCTGGTGAATAAAGACTCTCCAGCCACCAGCACAGCCACCAGCAACCACCAGGGGCCAACAGCATCATCACCAGAGCGACCGCAAACACGGATAAAGATAAAAAGATAAATGAATAAAGATGTAACAGCCACCCAGGTCAGTGTGTTGTGGTAGCCCAGGGCCAGCCCCAGCTGCAAGAATAACCCATCTCCAGGGCGAGTTTCCTCCCTGCATCGCTGTCGGAGGTCGCTTTGTGCCTCAAGCAGAACCGCTTTCCACCGCGCTGCGAAGCTTCAACGCGAGGCTCTGCTAAAAATTGAAACTGAAGGTCAAGTTGATAATGCATCAGAAAGCAAACAGCTTGAGTGCGAGCTGCTAACGACAGCAATGAGCATTATTGCCTGATGGAAATAAAACCCGACTCTGAAGGCTCAGGCTCGGCATGAGAAATGAAGCAGAGCGCTGTGGGGAGGAGAGCGGGAGCTGCTCACCCTGAGCCCAGTGGGTGAGGGACCCCCGGGCACAGCCAGTGTGGAGGGCTGGGAACAGGGCTGGGGTTGTTCCCCTGGCATAAACACCCCCACGGGAATCTCCAGCACTTGACAGAGCCTGGCACAGGCCAGATCCTCGCTCAGCTTGCAGCCCTGTCCGTCCCTCTGACAGGCCCCTGGGAGCTGTGACAAATCACAGGGTCCTTTAGGCTGCTGGAGAAATGGAACTGAGAGCCAGGAATATCCCAGAGATCCTTCACCCCCCTCCCAATGGATCTGTGCTTGTGTAAAGGGTCGGGTGCCAGCAGAGCCCTTTGCACAGGGGGAGACAGAGAGGTGAAATGGGCAGAGCCTGCTCTTCCTCCAGCCTGGCATTGCCACCACAGATGGCATGGCTTGGGGGGGTTAAATACATAAAATAAAGCAGAAAAAAAAGAAAAAGCACAGTTTTGGTCCAGCCTCACCATTATTCATGGCTGTGGCTCTATTTCCATGGGCAAAGCAGCGTGGCTGACACCCCACACTCACTCCCAAGGGAGATGTTCCAGGGAGCAGCTCAGAGCCCACCCAGGGCCCCACAGACAGCTCCCACAAATCTTCACATTCCTGCAGCATGTCAGGGCTGCAGCATCACCGCTGGCACCACACGGGCTGCCCTCACACTGCAGGCACCGTGGAAATCTGCTTTTTGATAACTAAATTATCACTAATGCACATAATCGCCAGGTTATGTGGATACCCAAATTACAGGACTGCAGCAGCCCCGGATTAATACGTGGCTGCTCTGGCTCCCTGTGCACTCCTTTACTCTGCAATTACGCTGTCAGATCGTTAACATCTGGCTAGAGGAGCTCGTGGTAACCACAGGTACCTCAAAGGAGAGGAGCTCACGCCGCAGCAGGACCACCAGTCACAACCAGTCACTCCTTGCCGGTGCTTAGTGGAGGAGGAGCATGGGTTTGAATCTGTGCAGACCCTCAGCTGTCCCACAGATCCCCTGGGGGGGCTGCAGCCATGGATGGGGCAGCAGAGCATCCCCAGCCCCTCCCCAAACCTGCCAGCCCAGCCCCTTTGCACCTGCAGCCCCACACATCCCCTGCAGCCACCGCTCCAGAGCATCCCCACGCGCTGCTCCTCGAGAAGCCACAGCCCCGTGAAAAATATTCCACTTCTCAAGTGAGAATCCTGAAGAGCAGCTCCCGGGCTGGATCCCCAGATGGGTTCCTCTGCATGCTAAAAGCACAGCCGGCTCCGGTGCCAGGGCGCGCGCGCGACAGACGGAATTAACGCTGCTCCTATTTATAGGGCTTTGATTAGGAGCTCGTCACCTCCAAGTTTTTATTCCCTTTATCCATTTATAAGGCCATAACGCAGTTTGACTGGCTCTGGATAGGCCGGTGTCCCACTGACTTTGCCAGAACCTAATGTGCCATTCAGACACACTTAAGCCTGTAATAAGCAGCAGCCTGCGCCCTGCAGGGGTTTAACTGTCTCAAAAAACACCCTTTAGCTCCCATCCCACCCCGTGCTGGGGGACTGAGGTGATGCCAGAGCCAGGAGGGACCCCAGTGCTGCGCCAGCCCCTCCGTGGGGTCCCTGGGCACCTCTGGTTTGTGGTAGCAGCACCCACAGCAGCGATTCCCAGGGCTCCTCACCCATCCTGGGCTTGGTGTTCAGCTCCCCACAAGCTCCTGCGCTGCTCCCAAGGCTGCTAATCCCCCCTAAGCATCCCAGAGCTCCCGTCAGCAAAACGCTTTCTGCCTCCAGACAAATCCTCCCAAAGAGTTTTGCTGAGCACGGACTTTCTGCCTGTCCAAAGCCCATAGACAAATTAAAGCACCTGCCCTGGGGGATAATTCCACTAAAATTGGGCGCAGCTCGTGCTGGTGCCAACTTGATTTTCTGTTAAAACCTGGGAGTATTTGTAAAAACCTTGTCTTCTGGAAGGCACCCAGCGCAGTGGCTCAGGCACAGAGGGAGGGGTGAGACCAGCTTGGCAGAGCTGGGGAGCAAAGAGTGGGATCTCGAGATGCTTCCCCAAAGCAGCCTGCAGGGCTGGAGGCAGCCCAGGATTGCTGGTCCCAAGCCTTGCTGCAAAACCTGGATCCTTGTTTGGGCAGCCCCAGAACCGACATTGCTCCAGGGCCATCCCCCAAAGCACAGCATCCTTCCCAGCTCAGCCCAAGGAGCCCAGCCAGTCCCATCCTTTCCTCCTCCTGTCTCATCTGCTCCCATCCCGGGAGAGATGCACTCACCATCCTCCCTGGACTTCTGGATGAAGGCCTCCACCCCGCTTTCACCGTAGCTGCCCTCGGAGGCCAAGGTGGAGACGTAATTCCACTTGAGGGCTTTGACGATGTCCACCATGGCCTGGGCCTGGTAGGTGTCCGAGGGGACAACGCGCGAGAAGAAGTCGTAGCGGCTGTTGTCGCTCAGGTCCGGCGCCGTGGAGGCGTAGCTGATCTGAGGGATCTGGGATGGAGGAGGCAAAGGCACAGAATCAGGGCAGGGAGGTGATGATCTCCACCCCACAGCCGTGCCCACGGTCCCAAAGCCTTGCTCTGGAGCAGAGAACTGAGGATGAGCATGGGGTAGGTGGGTATGTGCCACCATCAGGTGCTCCAGGGGCTTGGGGAACACCTGCAGCTCAGGAACACCCAGCAGGACCCCAAAAGGGTTTCTGGAGAATCCAGTGTGGGAGAGACCAAACTAAAAAAAACATAATTCTGCCCTGGCCAGCACTGCCAGGGTCTCCCTTTGGCTTCTTCCCCAGGAGGGACAGATCCAACCCATCCTGCCCCTGCCAGCCCTAAATAAGCCCCTTTAATTAACCAGAGCCACTGCACCTCTCCCAGCACACTGGAATGATTTAGCACCGTGGGATCAGGCGATGTTTAACACTTACACAGCACTTTCCATTTCCAAAACGCACCACACATCCTCATTTATCTTAAAGATGGAAAAGGCTTATTAAATTATCAAGCCCAGGTTCTCCCCACCAGCTGTTGGAATCCGAGCTGGGAGCCCAGCTGGGAGCTGCAGCCCAGGGATGAGGTGTGCACCAGGGCTGGGTGTCCCAACCCTCCTGGCCCCACTCCATTCCCCTCCAGTCCTGCATCTCCCAGTTTCTCCTTTGTTTCTCTGTGATTTCCCCTCTCCCACTCCTGCCTCTCTCTATTAAATGCGAATCTGGTGTTATAAACCCACGACTCCACCTGAATGCTAAAAGGCCCTTGGAAAGGAGCAGCCACCCTTCTACCTGCCTGCAAAACAGGAGATGAAAAAAAGGGAGAGATGAAGCAGGAGTGGGAGAGGGAGAGGAAGGAATCTTTATCAAGGCACAAATAGGATTACTCCCCGTGACAATCTGCTTTGTGCTCCGTTCCGAGGGGCTCTGATCTGCTCGTTGGGGATCTCTGGCTGGAGCCGGTGCATGAGCCTCCATTAAAATTCTGCTCAGCAGGTGAGGAGCTCGCCTGGCAATGGCTCATCCCGGGGGGAGCAGGGGGGCTGCTCCCAGCACAACCCCTTCCCTTCCCTGCCCAGCCCGCAGGAGGGACGTGGGCTCGGGATGGAGGCAGTGCCCACATCAAAGGTGATTTGGGGGCAGGGATGCACCCCTGCCCTTCCAGAGGCTCCTTTCCCAAGGATTTTTCACCTGCCAAGTGTTTTGGTTTCACCTCTTCCACAGAGCACTGTGGAAGGAGATGGAGAGGTCCCAGCTCCTGGAGATGGAGAGGTCCCAGCTATTCCCCACGCCACTGCCATCCCACCCAAGATCCAACAGCCTGGATTAACCCCTGGCCTGCCCATCCTGCTCCAGCCTCAGCTGGAAAGCAAAGCCCAGAATATACCTGTTGATCCACAGGCTATGGAGTGGAAGCTGTATTTTAATAAACAAAAGGAAAGGGCTTTTTCCCCTCGCTCCTCTGCCTTGGATGAAAGTGAAAATAAAATACCAGTTCCCAAATGGCCATTTCATAGATTTCTTCTGCCTTTTCCCCCCTCTGCCTTTTTGATAGCCCAACTCCTGGCACCAGCTATTTTCTCAGATAAAAGACAAAAGTCCTTTTAGGTACATAAAAGCAAAATGCAGGCAGGGAATTCAAGGTTCTTAGAAAGAAGGATGCAGTGGAAGAGGGAGCTGGAAACATCTCTCAACTGCAAATTTGCTGCACTGGTGGTCCCTTGTCTGGCTCATCTCCAGCCTGGGACAAACACTCCTGTGTGGAGGAAATTAGTAGGACCAGGTCGAGGAAATTAGTAGGACCAGCTCTCCTGCATCCCAAGAGTTCCTTGTGCCACCAAGAGTAGGGAGCCATCCCAGGGCAGGGGGCAAACCTCCTTCCTTCTCTTGTTTTGAGTCAAAAATCATCACCCAAAGCACCCTGAGACTGGAGAAGCATCCCTTGGGATGGTGGGAGCTGGGGCTGGAGGTGTCATCCTGCTCCTCCAGGGTCAATGGACTGGTGTGACTGAGCTCAAATGCACTGGGAAAGCTGCATTTGGTGCCCTCCGTTATCACCCAACATTAATGGGGCTCAGGAGATGCTGTGGTGTTTCCTCCACCAGCAAGAGACAGAATCCTCCCAGGTTGGGAAGAATTAGGCAAAGGTGGTGATTTCAGCACATCCCAGCTCGGGCGTAAACCATTGATGCCAACATCAGCCTGAGCAGGCAGGAAGAACAAAAAACAAACAAAAAACAAACAAAAAACCAAACAAAAAACAAACAAAAAACAAACAAAAAACCAACCAAAAACCACTGCAGAGCCAGAGCTGAGCACACTGGTCAGGAGCGCCCCACAAGCAGGGGCTCCTGCACCAACCCCCCCATGCCAGATACAGGGTCAGGAGCAGCTAATTCCCTCCCCATAATTATTAATTTCATGCATATCTTATGCAAAGCCCTGCTTCGCCGACAAGATGGAATTGATTTAATTAGAATTTCCATCATCGAGCCATTTGGATGGCAGCTTTTAATTAGGGAGAGCGTAAAGCACCGCAGGGGCTGGGGCAGGGAGGGGCTGCTCGGAACTCAGTGCTGGGATGGAAGGAGCTGCAGCCCCATCCTGCTGCCCCTTCCCTGGGCACAGGGTCAGGCCCAGGATGCAGGCAGAGGGAGAGGAAAAGGGAAAAGGCAGAGCTAAAACTCCAGGCAGCACAGCAGGCGCAGGAGGATGCTGTCCCTGATCCCTGCCACCACCTGTCCCACTCCTCCTCAACAAGCTGTGCCCAGGGACCCCTCAGGGCTGGGGGCAGCCCAGGGGAGCCAGGCAGCTGCGATTTGTTTCAATAAGCTCAGTGAAGAGCAAGGAAATGAAGTGGCAGCGGCGGGTGATTAATTGGAGTGTCCCCCTTCCCGCTCGGTGAACATTATTTACCTGCTAAGTGGGGATGTCCTGAATCCATCCACCCCACTGCCCCACAGCCTCGGGGCACCCTGCCACGAGCCAGGGGGCTCAGCACTGCCAGGGGGCTCAGCACTGCCAGGAGGGGCTCAGAGCCAGGGCCTGACCCAGCTCTGCACCTGGCAGCCCAGGCAGCGCAGCCTCGCGGGGCTGCGGATGCCGAGTGCCCGGCTGCAGCGCGGGCAGCGCCGTCCTCAGGTGAATTATTCATGTTGTACAACAGCCCTGCGCTGCAGAGAGCGCCTGCACTCGCTGCCACGGAGAGGAAACAGCCGCCTCAAAGTGCCTGGCACGTGTCAAAGCCATCCTCTGGCTGCTCACCCCACGCTGAGCGCTCGCGCTCCAGCTTGTCACAGCTCTTTCTGGATGGGGAGGAAAAATGTGCCTCAGATCCCTTTTAGGGGATCCCATTTGGAGGAGAAGGGGCTGGATTCCTTGACACCATCCCTGCTGTGGTGGTTCAGCAGCCGGTGGGTAGAGCTGGGGCTGGAGAGGCAGCAGCAAGGGGTGGGAAGGAGCTGGAAGGTGCCAGAGCGCTCCGGCAGTGACGCCAGGGAGATGCTATCACACAGAGCCCAGAGCACGGATTTAGGGAGAGGATTTTCTGCAGGCAAAGCGACGAGGAGTGATGAAACCAGCTTGGACAGAGGATGCCGCATCTGCAAGTTGTTCCACTGATGTACAGCTTTAATTAGGAGGCGGCAGCTAACGAAGGACCCGTTATTTATTTATGTAGTGCAGGAGCGACAAAAGCCCTGGCAGGGAGGAGCAAGGCCAGCCTAGCAGGGAGGGCTGTGCAGGGGATGGAGCAGGGAGAGGTGCACAGGAGGGAGTGTGGGATGGGACAACAGCAGGGAGAGCATCATTCTGAGACAGGAACAGCACCTGCAGAGTGCTCATGGCCACAGGAGAGAAGGGGGAAACTGGGAGGGCTGCTGTGCTGGACTTGATTGGGCTCCTCACCTTGGTAGACTCTGATTCACTCTATGCTGCTTGCTGGATATCCTGGGGCCCTTCCAGATGTGCTAGAGCCTTCCCAGATGAGCTGAAGCCTTCCCCAAGAACCACCTGAGCTCTCCAGAAACCAGAGCACTCAGAGGGCATTTGGAACACCCCACAGGGAGGGTCCCTCTGTGCCAGCTCCCAGCACTTTCTGTCAATGTCCCCATCCTGGGGGAGCACCGAGAGGGACGGGAGGGACACAGCAACACAGGGCCAAGCGGGAGCAGAGCTCCAGCAAGTGCCATGCCCCAGAGGCAGCTGCCTGTGCCCGAGGCAGTCAGTGCTTTGTTGAACCTCGGAGCAGAGTCACCCGTGCTTAAAGGTCAGCTGCGGCGTGAAATGGAACTCGCCTTATTCTCATTTTAAGCATGTCCCTGCCATAAAAGCAGTGTTTGAATAACAAAGAGCAGCAGCAGCACTCGGGTCGTGGTGGGGGGAAGAGCCTCCAGAACTCCCAAACCCCCAGCCCCTGCCTGCTGCAGGAGTGGCTGTGCCCAGACATGACCCCAATCCCATGGGAATGGTGTCCCTGTGCTGGGACCACTGAGGAGGGCACCAACCCCTCCACGAGGATTCCCCGCTGTCTAGGAATGGCTGAGATTTTCCTTATTCTCCTCTCCCAAGGGATTTTGAATTTGCCATCCTCTACCTGGTTATCCTCCCATTTGCATTTCTTCCCTGCCCCATTGGGCTGAGATCAGCTCTGGATTAAAGTTCTGAGTGCTCAGGATGCACCAGCAGCAGCACCAGTGCCTGGCTGCTCAGCTGGGGCAGGGCTGCACCTGAGGTCAGTGACATCCTTCTGAACAGGTCACACCTCTTTGCCCAAGGACCAAAACTGGAGGAGAAGGTTGAGGGAAAAAAACAAAAGAACCTAGAAAGACTTCAGTTGCCCCCCACTATTCTGACTGTCACTCTCCTACCTCCTTCCCCACTTCCAGCCTCCCTCCTCCTCTCCAGAACAAGTATTCAATCTTTTTTGTCTTGGCAAATAGCTTTTAAGTTCCTCCCACTCCCTCTAATTTATATTATTTTAATTATTGAATAGCCCTCTCACTCGTCGCCTGGAACATTAACACGTTTTTAAAAAAAGAGGGACCCAGAAAAATCAAACTCCATCAGCGATCTGGTTCTTCCGTCCTCACTTAACAGCTCCCAGCCCTCCCAGGAGGGGACCCAGCTCTCAGCACGCTGGGCTGGCAGAGGAAGAGGAGGGGAAAGACAGGGGGAAACATCACCAATCCTGCAGAACAGAGGGGTTTAAAGATGCTGGGAGAAGGCCAAGATGGGATGGGGCCCCCATTGCCACTGGAGGTGCAGAATATTTACATTTCTCCCTCATTTCTGCAGAGGGACCCTTGTTCACACACTCTGCAGCCCAGGGACGTGGTTGTGGATAAATGAATGTACAGCAAGGGGGAAAGGAATTATCAACTCCTCAGCATTCCTGCAGCTGGCACAGAGCAAGAGGAAGAGCCCTACTCATCCCACCACAGCCTGAGCACCTCTGGGGCTGGTGGCACAGGACAAATGTCCCCAGCCTGGTTGATGTCCCCTTGCACTGGAGCAGAGCAGCCCCAGCTGCCCCTTGCCATCGGCCATCGCTGCCTGCAGCCCTCTGGCTCAGGTGGGATTTACATTTTGGGGTATAACCCACACCCCCAAAGGAGCATCCCCCAGAACCAGCTCCACACCCACCCCCAGCCCACCTCCCATCCAGCCCCCACCACAGAGCGGGAGCACCAGCGCCACAAAACCGGGGGAGATGAGACAAAAATCCTCCTGCTCTGAGTGTCGTCACCGGAGAGGGATGGAGGAAGGGATCCCCAGGGACCCGGGGGAGGCAGGAGAAGCATTTTAACAGCGCCAGCTCTGCCTCCCCCCAGCTGTGGAGAAAGAGGCACACGTGGAGAAACGCTACCAAAGCACCCGCGGGGGTTTTGCCGAGGGCTTCCCTTCACCTGGCCGAGCCCTACCTTGAAGAGCCGCAGGATGTTGGCCACCATGATGGACACGGAGCTGNGAGCTGGGGCTGCCCTCGGGATCGGGGCTTGGCTGGGGAGGTGCTGGGATGGCAGAGAAGCATCCCCCATTTCCAGCATCCTCCTTCCCAACCCCCTCTGCCTGAGTCCCCCGAGCTCTGGAGCCCCTGCAGAGAGCTCGGAGGTGCTGGAGGGAAGGGTGGGATGAGGAGAGATGGGTGGGTGGGATGAGGAGGGAGGGATGGATGGGTGGGTGGGAGCTGCACGTGCTTTCCCCCAGCACCAACAACTTTGCAGCAACTGCTGCTGCTTTTGGGGGGGATGGAGGAAGACCCAGCAGCACCCCCGTGCCATGGAGGGTCCCCTTGGCATTCCCAGCTGGAGCTGTGTGGGCTCTGCTCCCTCCTCCAGGGCAGGAGAGCCCAGCAGGGTGGGGGCCATGCTGGGCCCATCTGTTTGCAGCTGCAGGAGGGGGCACGGAGCAGCTCGAGGCTGCTCTGCCTCTGACAGAAATTGACTTAAAAAGAGACAAAATCCCCATCCCAGCCCGAGCAGCAGCCGGCCCTTTGCTGGCCTAAATCTAAACCATACTTCTCTTTTTTCCTAAGAGACTCCTTGAAGGGCTCTGGGATGCTGTGAGTAATATTTTCGGGGTGTTTACACTACAGCATGGTTTCTGTCTCCCAAAAAAAAAAAAAAAGACTCCGAGGGTGGTTTTTGTTGTTGTTGTTTTGCACTCATGAGTCACTTCCAGAGGGGAGCAGGAGCTGACGCCTGTTTTTTGAAAAGGCTCAGAGGTCTGAGAGTGGCTCCTCAGGCTCCATGTGCTGCCCACACCCTCCCCAGTGAGGCTCAGTGTCCCAGGGGGCTCAGCACCCTCTGCCCCCACAGCCCTGCTGTCCCAGCTGCTCCAACACCATCAAATGGGGAGCAGCTCCTCAAAACTGAGCATTGTTATCCCAGAGGTAGGAGGGTGCCTCCATCAGCACACACAGGCTGGGCACACAGCCTCTGGGAAGCCTCACCTTGGGCAGGTGTCCCCAGCATGGCCGTGGTCACCCCACCTGTGTGGGGTCACCGCAATCACCGGGGCTGTGGCAGCAATCCTGCTCCTTCCCACCCCGAGTCCCTCCTGCCGCCAGCCCGGGCACGGAGCCACCCCACAGCTCTGGAAAAGCAGGTTTTCCCTGTGGCCCTGGGAAGCAGCGAGGTGGAGAGGGGAAGATGGAGCCTTTTCCTGGGTGGAATTGCTCCAAGAGCACAGGGAGAGCTGCCCAGCCCTTGGGGACGTGCACAGGGGAGGTGACAACCCAGTGTCCTCAGGTCAGGTGCCTGTCCCTAACCTCAGCTAGGCAGCAGGGGCAGGAGTGCAGCAGTGCTGAGGGTGGGGAGCAGGGCTGTGGGACCCTGAGCCCCCCTCCATGGCCTTGGCACCCCTCTGGGGACACCCAAAGTCCCCAATGCCACCACTCACCCTGCCTGAACTCACCAGTGCCAGCAGCACATCTGGGATTCCACATTAAATCTGGAGCCTCTCCTCTCCTCGAGGAAAGGGGCCAGGCAATGCAGGATGGGCTGGCCAAGCTGCTGCTCCCCAAAAGCCTGAGGGGACCCCAGGAGCTGGGCACTGGCTGTGGGTGGCTGTGCCATGGGCTCAAAATGCAGCCAGGGCATTTTGCTGCCCAGCCCGTGCCAGGAGCATGCAGGGGGCATCTCTCCTGCCCCAGGGTGAGGGCTGAGGGATGTCACAGCAAGCCAGAGCCGTGCCTGACTGTCCTTCCTCCCTCCCACTCCTCCTCACCCTGCTGGGACAGACGATGAGTGAATCCAGCGCCAAATCCAGCCAGCCCCTGGCCTCCAAAGGGGAGAAAGACGTGGCCGAGAAGAGGGGCCGAGGGCGGCCCAGGAAGAAGCCGCAGGTACGTGGGGTCCCCTGTGAGAAAGGGGGCACTGGGCACCCCCGGGGTGTGGGGTCCCCTGTGAGAAAGGGGGCACTGGGCACCCCCGGGGTGTGGGGCAGCAGGAAACCCCCCACACCTACACCCCAGGCTGGAGACACCTCCAGTCCAGCCCTGTAACCCCTTCCTGGGGGTCTCCAGAGCCCCCCAGAGCTGCTGGCCCCGGCTGGGGGCTCTCCTGCCCCTCCCCAGGCCCTGCTGAACCTGCCTCTGCAGACAGGCTAATTAAAGCCCCATTAGCAAAAGCTGCTCAGAGAGATAAGATGCTGCTGGAGCCTTTATAGTACCAAACCCGCTCAGCTCCCCCTACCCCCAGGCAGGTGGGGTTTGTGCACATCGTTTTCCTGCAAAAAAGGTGATTTGTGCCTTCCATGACACTCCTTGGCTGCTGAGCAGGGTCTGGTTTGAGGGGCCGTGGGGATTGTCCAGCTGGGCTGAGTGGGTGATGCTGGGGGTGGAAAAGGTCTCCTATGCCCAGCTGAAGGACACGCAGGAGCCTGTGCCTGGTGTCTGATCCCAATCCCAGTGTGCCCAGTGCTCCCAGTACCACATGGGAGCATCCCTGCCCCGGCAGGGTCTGCAGGGTCCCCCAGGCTGCACTGGGAGCCACTGTGGGCATGCAAACCCCCTGTGCTCTCCCTCCAGCAGGAGCCCAGCGAGGCCCCGACCCCCAAGAGACCCCGTGGACGGCCGAAGGGCAGTAAAAACAAGGCCACCACAAAGGGCAGGGTAGGTACCTGGGATGGGGCTGCTCCAGCTGGGGGCTGGCACCACAGCAGGTCCTGTTTGAGCTCTGTTATGAACAATTCAGGCCAGATCTGGTCCTGTTTGAGCTCAGTTATGGACAATTCAGGCCAGATCTGGTCCTGTTTGAGCTTTGTTATGGACAATTCAGGCCAGATCTGGTCCTGTTTGAGCTCAGTTATGGACAGTTCAGGGCAGATCTGCCTCAGAGGTGGGGATGGAGGGAGGAATCTGGCCCAAGGAGGAGGGTGGGGGAGCTGGGGGCCGTGTGTCAGCACCAGGACACCCGAGATAAAGCTGTTTGCAAAACGTGCGACTCACATCCTGCACCCACCTCGTGACTCAGGGGCATCCCGGGGCTGGGGGGCTCGGGGGGCTGGCAGCAGCACCCCAGAGATGCCACTGGGGTGATGAATCACGGTGGGAGGGCGGGGAACACTGCCCACCCCCACCAGCATCCTGGGGACAGCCTGACCAAAATGGCTTTTTGTTGTCCTGGCTCAGAAAGCTGCAGTCACACCAGGGAGGAAACCTCGAGGGCGACCCAAAAAATCGGTGAGCAGGCTTTTCCCTTCCCCATCCACCCTGGCAGGGCGCTGGGCACTTGGGGGGCACAGCAGCTCCCCAGAGAGCCCCAGGAGTGCACGGTGGAGGCTGTTGGGTTGGAGGAGCTCCGAGCAGCTGAGCCAGCAGGACACTGCACTGGGTGGGCTCTGAAGCCTCCAGAGGTGTGGGTTTGAGGAATCCTGCCCACNAGGGGGCTCTGCCCTCTCCCAGCACCAAAGAACCGAGCACGGACCACAAACGCACAATTCCAGCCCCATCTTCCCCGAGGGGTGACTTGCGCTGCTCTGCGAAATCGCAGCCCTGGCGAGGGTCAGCCAGCGCCCAGGCGGGCTGGTTCCCCTCGGAAAAGGCTCCTTTTCACCCAAATCCTGGTTAGGAGGGTGGGGAGGAGCCCGTTTTGCCGAAGCACTGGGAATTGCCCAGTGTCAGTGCTGGGATTTGAAAGAGCCCTGGCCTCCCCAGGGAGATGCAGCTCCTGAAAAGCTGCCCAGCCACCCTCCTGCCACTGGAACATTCCCGTGGATCCAGGTGCTCAGAGCTGCAGAGCCAGCAGGCTGTTGCAGTGGTTTTGTTTACAGCAGGAGCAAGAGTGGTGTTTGCTGTTACTCTGCTTTAGTGGGACAGAGGAGGGGGCACAGCCCCACGACCCCATGTGTGAGCATCCCCAGCCACGGCAGCGCTGATGCCAGAAGCTGAACCCAAAGGAAATCTGCACTGTGCTCAGTGGGGAGGGGACACAAAGACCAAGCCCCTGGGAGGACAGGACCCCCTGCCTGGCCCAGGCCAGGGCTGAGGGGACTCCAGACACCACAGGATAAGCCAGGCACAAATCCCTTGCCAAAAGTAGCTTTTAGAGGCACCCTAAGGTCAAAGCCCCTGCTCCAAATCGGGTGAAGCCCTCAGCTCCTGGGGATTTCTAAGACACGTGTTTGCCTTCAAGGAGAAACAAGGGTGCTCTGCTCACAGCCTGGGGTCATGAGGATTCCAGGCCACCCTGCTCTGACCTTCCCAGTCCCAAAGAATCCCTGAGGCAAGGTGTTTGGGATAAATTGTGGAGGATTTTGGCCAAGGCACCACCTGAGCTGCTCCGGCTCATTCAGGAGTGCCTCACTGCTGCCCTGGCTCCAGTGGAAAATCATAACCCAACCCTCCCAAAGATTCAACCCCCAGAATCCCAGGGACTGCAGGATGCTCTTCCCACCACGGCTGAGCTGGCAGTGTGTCTCTTCTCCTCTCCCAAGCTCACGGCCTGCACGTCTCCCCTGCTCACAGCCCCTGCCAGCCAGAACCCAAAATACCAGCACAGCCTCGTGTCACCACCAGGAACATCAGAGCCCAATTAACATTTGGAAATCCAGCTGAGGCCCATGATTCCCCCGGCACAACAGGAAAGGCCACAGCGTGGGGCTGAGAGCATGGGAGACACCCTGGTGATTGCAGGGGTGGGGTTACCCCGAGAGCAGCTCAGCAAACCCCACAGAGGTCTCTGTGAGGGCTCCTGCTCAGCGCCGGGGTCAGAGCTGACCAAATCCTCCAGGAGAGTTCGATGCCATCAGCAAATGGACACGGAGAAATCCGCCAGGATCGATGTCAGCTCTGCAGGCACGGAGCCAGGGGAGCTGAGCGAGTTCCTCATCCCGAGGGCAGGGCTGGGGCCAAGCCTGTTCCAGCTCTGTTCTCCTGTCCATCCAGGCTGCCCCAGCACCTCCAGGGCCCCCAGCAGCCTCTCCCTGAACTCCCAGGCTCCGTGCAGGATGCTCTGGGTGCCCTGACCCCACTCGTCCCACAGCTGTCCCCAGGCAGGCACAGCTCCGGGCTCTCAGCCCCAGCCTCTCGCTGCCCTGGCCCCCAGCCAGCCAGGAAGGTCACCGTGTCCACTGCTGAGGCCACCAAGCGCCATCCAGGAGACACAACTGCTTGCAATTTGATTTTTTTTTTTTTTTTTTTTAATATAGGAAAACTTGAAACCGCATCTTATGGACTGGACATTCCGGCTCAGCTCTGCAAAAGGGCTCTGAATAATTTATGGCTGAGCCACCACCTCCTCCTTCCTCCTCGTGGGTCACTCCTGTCAAAGAGATGGAGGCTCAGGAATCACACCCAGCCCTTTTCATCTGGGGGCCCGCATTGCCAGTGCCTGCAATTGCCTGGGGTGTGAATTCCCTCCTGGATAGAAGGGTGCGGAAAATAAATCTTTAATTCAAAGTGAAATATTAATAGAACTGTAATTAGCTGTAATATCTACACAATTAAAAAGCAGGAGGCCCGGCAAGAGCTATTTTCGTGTGTATTTAAAGAAAAATAAGTTTGCAGGGTAAGGGGTGGGGGGTGGCTGGGGATGCTTTTCCAGTGTCCCAATTGTCTGAGGGAGAAACGTGGCCAGGAGGAGCAGCAGCTGCACAGGGACACAGGTCCTGCAGTGCTGGTGGGACAGGAAGAAATAAAAGGAGGGGTCAGAAGAAAAGAAAAACACAGAGGAAGGATTTGAGGAGCAAAAGAAAGAAAGATGATGACAGTTTTGTCCTGCTCCTCGGGGATTTTGTAGCAAAGGGAAGATTTTCACTGACGTCAGGCAGAGCCGAGCCATAGCAAGAGGACAGGGATGGGAAAAGTGTCTGTGGAAGTTGGCAGGGAATGAGGGGGGTGACCCTGGCTCAGCCCCCACGTTTTCCAGCAGGAATTGCACAAGCTGCTTGCAAAAAAGCCATCAGCTCACCCTGAGCTGGGCAGCCACCGAAGGGACAAACAAAACCGCAAAACAAAACCAACAGAATAACTCAGCTCAGCCCCTCCAAAAACACCTCAATAATAGGCCAAGGAGGGAAAAAAAATAAAAAAAAAAAGCAGCCTTGGATTTCTTTCCTGAAGAAAGAGACTCCCACACAGCCTCAGCACATGAAGGTGGGTAATAGATCTGGATCTTTCGGGAGCAGCACTGCCTGTGCTCGCATGGGCTTGACATTCACACATCGGGTCCGTGCCTCTCTCGAGGAGTGGGGATAATGGCATGCCGAATGTCAGACCACTTAAATATATATAAAACTCATTATACGCCTCATGACTAACAGATCTTGATGGGAAAAGTTGCATTTTAAAGAAATGCGGGGAAAAAAAGAAAAAAAAAAAAAAAAGAAAAAACCCATTCGGGCTTGCGGGGAGGAATTAGCAATGAACGAGGGATGATTCGGCTGCAGGCTGGGAGTGATGACAACTCCTCCTCCTCCTCCTCGTGAGGAAGGCTCCTGTACCTGTGCCAGCTCCCTGGCAGCCTTTCACCTGCTTTGGGGGCTGTCGAGCTCCCACCAGAGGCTTTCCTGCAGCCCAGGGTCCTGCCAGGCACCCAGAGCCCCCAGCTGATGTGGGACCCCCAGAGAAACCCCAGGAACCAGCTCTGCCTCTCAGAGGCCACCAAGGGGACATTTCTGGGCTTCTGGGCTTTTCCCCCATGGCAGCAACGAGGGGATGGAGTGCACTGGGGAGCTGGGCAATGCCTCTCTCTCCAAAGCTCCTCTTGCTGCAGCCTCAGAGCCTCTTCTCGGGGGGTTATTCCTCTTTCTTGGGTGTCTCCAGCCTAAAAATGCCCCTCGGTGCCTCCCTGCTGCCGTGACACGAGGACAAAGAGCCCGTGCCTGGCTCTGGGAGCCCGAAGTCGGGCAGCACCATCGCTCTTCTGCTCTACAACAGTTCCACCTAATGGTGAGAGAGCTGCTGAGGAGACAGCCAGCCCAGGGCAGACACAGGGGACACCCCAGGAGCAGAGCAGAGGCAGCACAGCTCAGCACAGCGATGGACCCTGCCAGCCTCAGCCCCCAGGAAGGAAAAGCTGCTGCTTTGCCCCTGCACTGACCCATGAGGTGGTTCCAGCATCTCCAAAAACGGGGAGTTCTGTCAGCTCCGTGCTCTGGGGCATGTCCCGCATCCCTCCTGCAGCTGCTGCTCCAGCATGGGGCAGGAACAGGGGATTTGGGAGCCTTGGAGCCCAGCCCTGCACCCCACTCTGCTGCTCGCAGGAAAACACGGGGGCTCCTGCTGGATGTGCCCTCCACTCAGTGCAGCTGAACTGCTCCCATCCCTGTTAGAAGCTGTCACTTTATAGAAAAGGAGGGAAGGGCTCAGGCCCAGGGCGTGCTGAGTGGCCAGAGGTTATTTTGGGCAGTGATTACCCCAAATTTGGGGTTTAAACAATACAGAAACATGAAAAGCTGAGGCACAATGTTCTCCTAGAAATCCATTGTCCTGCACCATCAGCAGCTTTTTGTGCTGATGCTTCAGAGAGAGCAGAACGTGCCCCCAAACCAGCATCAGGGTCCCAGTGGTGCCACCCTGCTCCTATGAACCAACCTTCCTGTTCTGCCACCAGTTTTGTTTTTAAAGCCAGAGGTGTCCCCCTGTCCCCAGTGCAACACACCAAAGGCACAACCCTGTCCCTCAAACCCGGCATTGGGAAAGGAAACAAGGACAGACAGCTCTGTCTGCATTTCCATTTCGGTGCAGGAGGGGTTTTTTATCCACCCACAGGGATCATGAGCAGCTGGAAATGTTTTCTTTAAATCTCAAAAAAAAAAAAAAAAAGAAAAAAAGGAGAATAGGGAAGGAGAGAGAACATTTGCTGGTAAAATTAACTGTGACGGCCAGGCAGCACACACTCCCTCTGCACCCACAGGACAATTAGAGGAAAATCTTTACACATTAACTAACACAGAAGGCAGGGATGGCATGGAAGACAATCCCCTTGTTTTTCCCAACCAGCTGTGCTGGAGCAAGGTTGCAGCAGCACCTGGGCTGCAGGACATGGGCAGGGGACAGGGCAGAAGGGAGAGGAGAGCAGCAGCACCAACTCTGGTGAGGGACTGGGACTGGAAGGCCACGGGATGCTGGGTGGGCCCAGCACCAAGCACCAGCATCTCCAGCACCCATCCAGGCACAAGGAGATGGGGAAAGCTGGGATGGGCTCCCCTCCTTGCCTGTCCCCTCCAGGTGTGCAGGAAAGCTGCTGTACCCCCTCACACAGCTCCAGCCTGGCAGCTGAGCACCCATCCCACACCAACCCACACCAAAACTGCCCCGTTCGCTCTGCGCGCACCAACCTGCTCTGCCGGAGAGCAAACCGCCCCAAACTGGGATGGATTTGCACCACAGGCTCCTCCAGCATGCCCTGATTGCTGCTGCGCTGGACAGGGA